AGGAGAAACGGTGGCTGTGGGGAGAAACATGCTCCTGAGCTGCTTCTCGTCCTCTCACGCTCAGCAGAGGTGGAGTGACTCTACAGCATCCTCAGTAAATCTCTAGCTAGTGTGCAAGAGGACAGGGAATCAGAAAAGGCAGGAGGGAGGATAAGAAATAAGATTCCCAAAGTCAGTGGGTAAACCTGTACACGCGGAGCTGAAGGAAGTGGGCAAGATTCATGCTCGTTTTTTATCTTCATACTTTTCCAAACAGATTCTTATGTAAGAAAAAGCAGCTCTGCATGGGTACCACCTGTTCTTCACTGAGGGGCCCCCCCCCCCCAATGATGTCCTCTGCCGCAGTGCCTACAAGAAATCAGCCGGCTATGAAACCCTGTTCAACCCCAGCTTCTTCAGTCTGTCACCGAATTGCCCAGCCCTCACGCAGAAACAATCAAGTTTATTCTCTAATCAAGTCTGTTCTTGTCATCCGTTGCCCAAATCCCCCTGAGTTATGTCTGCATGGCTGGATGAAGACAGACCCGACTTTGCTCTCTCTGCACTTGGAGATGCCCAGACACATGCTACATTTGACAGGATCCAATGTTTTTCTGTGGGTAACAAACACTCATAGTTCTGACAGTAAATAGCAAAAGGAAAGAGTCCCAAGAGCTTTCAGAGGGCTATAAGCTCTTGTCCATCAGACTATAAAATGACTTCTATTTCAAAAGGGAGACATATTATTCCCTCAAAGAGCTAATTATATAACATAATAACTAATTACTCTGCACCCTAAAAGTCTCTTTTGTTTGTTTGTTTGTTTTTAATGTCTACTGCTGCCAGGGCATGAAGTAGGCTACTGGGTCAGCTGGATCCAGGGTCTGCTCCAACAGGTAGGTTCTTCAGAAGAACGCATTACCAAATCCAAAGAGCAAATCTCTTAAATTCTGTCAAGTTTTCTACATTCTGAGAGATTTTACATTTCCAGCTGATCACTTCATCAGACTATGTCGCTACACCCATCATGGAACTTGACGTTTTGCAGGATAACATTTTTTTAAACATAACACACTGACAACATTGCAAACAGGATTTTTCCTATCACCAGCTAGTGAAAGGAATGAACGCTGCTCCGCAGTCTGAGCTGCTACGCTGCTGTAAATTCATTAGTTATACCTCATTAGAACCACTGTGAAGTAATTATGCAAAACCCCTCACACACTACTTTAAACCTTTTAAAAGTTCTTTATAACCAAGCAGCAAGAGCAATTCCACAAAGGTAATTTTCATAAATATCATTGTAAACTGTATGAGAGACTGTTCTAATTACCTTTTGCAAGCCGGCATGAGAAATATCTCGCCAACACTATTGGTAAGTCTCTAAATGATCTGGCACAAAGTTACTTAAAAGAACAAATTAATTTTCAGTTCAGATGTCCATTCACAGACCACTAGGTCAAGCACTAATAAATGTGTTTATTCTAACTCCTCATACAACAGGCCCAATTCTGGACCCACACTGGTACAAACAGGGACTAATCCCCCACAATTATTAGGGGATTAGTCAGTAAAACAGCACAAATAAATCTAAACTAAACAAAAACTATTCTTCCTTCAGTGTCTTAATTTTTTGCCTATTATAAAATACTCGCAGAAATTACTCACCTAACAGGCCAAGAGGATTGAACAAAGAACTCCCATTCCTACTACAACAGATGTGTTGGTTATCACCGACTTTGGAATGACCAAAAGATCAAAACTATTTTAATGGCTACTTGCTAGATGTGCAGGAATGTTACTACCACAGAGGCTTTTCTCAGCTGAGAGAAGGGGTGTATTGTTCTCGTCGTAACAAGACAGACACAGGCGCCTAGACTGCATTAACAACTAACAGATAAGACCCAGCCAAGACGGGAGGAACGGTCAACCTTTCCCAATTACTAGAGAATGGAGATAGAGTGGGGCAGAGGTATTCGATTTTAGGAGGTACCTTTACACTAAGAGATGCAGGGGAGCAGAATTCAGAGCAAAAGCTCTCTAGCACTGCTCAACGGTGCTAGGGAACGTTGAACATTTTCATGGGATATGGAAAGTAGACGGGGTGGGTTATACCCACCCTAATTTAGTGGCATATATACGTAGTACAGTGCAGAGATGCCCAGGAAACGACCCTCACTAACAGTGTCTGACCTCCTCCCAGAAGGAGGGCAGAGAAACTTTCATGTCTTGCTGAAGTAGAGACGGCCTCATCTATCATTTTTACCATATGTCCTCTTCAGTGCAAGGAGGTGGGGAAGGTCAAAATATTGCAGTTGCAGCTTCACACTAATCATTCATTCACCTGACAATTGAGTGCTTGCAGCAAAATGTTGTTTTATATTCCATGTTTGTAAGTATCAGGATAAGAAAAACACTGCTTGCAATTTACTTTGGAGTGGCTGTCATTTTAAAACCTAAGTGGCTGTCATTGTGTCTGTACCCACCAATATCTTCCTTGTTTGCTGATGGAGAACAGGGCTGACCCCATGAAGATGACCACTTAGAAACATTAAGCATACCAGCATTTTGAGACTGGTTTTCCCCTCATCCTCAAGAGCAGTCACATCTAAACAACTGTAACTTGAGCTCTCCTACAGTCCTGCATGTTTTCACTTGGCTGCTGAGATACCCCAGAGCTTACTTCTGAAACTCCACTTTCCACAGGCCAACAGGGGATGCTTAAAAAGCTCTGTTCTCCACTCTCAGCCAAAGACGACTGCAGATCAGGAGACAGGGCTGGCCAGCCGCAGATACTTCGCTTTCTTGAAGGGAAGCCTCTAGAGAAGGATAAAGCTATTTCCACTTTCACAGCCCTCCATTTTACAAGTGAGAGCCTACTGATCTCTAGTGTAACGTTTTAATTCACAATGACAGGAAACAAAGCAGTAGGCAGACTGATCAGCTCAATCAAGGAAGACAGTGCTCTATTTAGTTACTTGGGAACTTTTGCTCGCTTGACAGCATGTTTTAAAGAGAGAAAAACTGACCAAGTAAGAGGAACTAAAGACAGGGAAATGAAGAGAATTACTTAGGATACAACCGTGAAATGAAACAGAATCAAACTAAATGAAACAGAATCAAACTTTCCATCTAATCTGTCAATGACACAGAATCAAACTTTCCATCTAATTTTGTCATTTTATCTCTCCTGCTGCTGAAAGGCACTGGGCATCTACTTCTGCAGAGGGGTGTAAAGGTCACAGCATGATCAGAAACGAGTGGGAACCACACTGTGAAGTATATATACACATATATATACAGAGTGAGAGAGACACATGCTGATAATATCCTAGAAAGAAAAAAATTCTTTAGTGCAAAATGACTATCCAGAGGAGAGTTAAGTGGAAACCTGTGACTGCTGGAGAAAGAGACCTGCTGTCTGGTTCTTTTAAGACTTCAGCCTCCTACAGTTTCCACGTGACCTAGTACAGCAAACAAAACAGATCCCATGCGAAGGTACTGTGACCCTCACCTTTTCTGGTAAGGTAGGCAATCCTGATGCATAACGTAAAAACATAACAATCCTTTGCTGCAGAAGCACCATCCAAGTTATAAAAATATTTTCTTGTAAGTGCTTGTGTATTTACTGAATGTTATTCTTGTCATATTTCTTTCTACAAAAATATATTACCAAAAAGCACTCTTACTTCCACGGAAGAGCTAGAAATAGCAAGGAAAAGCACGAACCTGTGGGGATCATCAGGGTCACAGTTTGGTAGAAAGCTAGTGACAGCTTCCGCCACTTCTTCATTTAACAGCACATCCCAGAGTCCATCAGTAGCTAGGATGAGAACATCATCTGGCCCATGCTCATACTGCAGAAGGTCATAGACTCTCACCTAAAATCAAAAAGCAAGAGATATCCATGAAGATGGGAAGCAAATCTGTTTGTGAAAAGCTGCTGAGTTTGGCTCTGAGTTTGCAGGCTTGGCAAGGGCACTAAAATACCTCTACCACAGCAAAGCTGGGGTCTGTCTCCACTTTAGCCCTTGAGCTGGCGACCCTTCCTGGCCTGGCTCAACAAGGCTTGGCACGGTTCAGGGGGGCACTTCAGCACCAGCGGTCAAGTGCTGACCTCATCTGGGGTAGACTCAAGCCTTCCTGAAAGCAGCTGTAGTGCATTTTGCTGGCTGCTGTCAGCAATCATCAAAGCAATTCCCCCCCTGCCCTCAGGCCTGGTTCTGCATGTTAAGGTCTTCCCTATCATTGGCAGGGCTAGTCAAATGGAAGTTGAATTATTTGATGAATTTTTGATATTTTTAAACAAAATCATTGTTTTTACTACTTGTTTAGATCCAGTTAACCCTGCCAAATAGATTGTACATGTTCTGAAATGATACAGCAGAAGGTATCTCATTTACTTTTCTAGACCTGACCTAGCCACTGCACTTAAGTATTACATCTGAGCAAGTGAGTAGTTCCACAAAATGGGGAAAAATTGTTTACTTGTTCAGTTATGTGTATTCGTAGGATTTCAGTGGGTAGAGACTAATTGAAGATCTGCACAAATGTGACCCTCCAAGTAAGCTTATCCACAGTAAGCTGTTTCCTTAAAAAGTCCATTAGCTTCGTCACTTTTGCCTGTAGCCACGGTCAGATTGACCACTGCTGCTGACGTCTCTGTAAAACTCTGCCTTTAAAATGACTTCCACAGCCCTCCACCGGACGAGGCTGGCTAAAGCCTGGACTTAAGGGGAGCAGACACAAGGGATGCTGGGAGGTCATCAGTTGAGCCACAACATGAGCTAAGGTCATCGCAAGCATTTTAAAACGAGCCTTTTGTTGGACGTAATTCTTCCTCCAGCACACGCTGTCTTCCAACAGACAAACTGCCGGCTCCTTCAATTCTCAAGCTGAAGCGCGGAGGGCCTCTGTGAAGTGCTTACAGGGCACGTTAATTACCACAGCAATGACTGCAATATGAAAGAATTGTGACAACCTTGGCAAGGCAGACAGGAGAAAATGATGATCTGCACTAAAGTTTGGAAACGGCGCACCTTGTCACGCATCCTGCTCCAGCCATGGCCTTCACTAACAGCAGCAGCAATCTGCAGATTTGTCAGGACAAGCACTTGGCATAGCTAGAAGCTATGAGAGTCGTTTTATTCTCCCTCCTCGCGCAACCTCCCCTTAGGAGCCATGGAGCAGGAAATGCACATAAAATGCCTGGACCTTTTAATGTAATTATGATTTTATGGGACTGCAACCAGCACAAGGGAAACAATCATCTAGACCTTACTGCTAATCTTCACTTGTTCACCTTTCACTCAAAAGCACAAGAGGGTCATTTTTACAAATACAACCTTCACTTCATTATCTAAGGTAGCAGCTGAGTAAGGACTCTGAGGAGGACTAAAGACAAAGCAAGTGACTCTCTTTATTAAAGCATATTCTCCTTATTCAGATTGAGTGGGAATGTTACTCAAGAAGAGATCCCTGTACGCAGCACAGACCTCCTTTCAAGCCCATTCCAGAGGACAGGAGTTGTTGCAGTCCCCCTCTCCCAGAAGTTAGTTCAACCTATAGCAGCCCACAGTTTTAGCTCAGAAATCACTGGGGTGTGCAGGGGTAAGCTGGCCAACACAGCAATCAATAGGCACCACATGTTTTAGTCAGATCTCTTGGGTACAGGCAAGTATTTCAGAGAGCATAGCAGCTAATGCTCAAGTATCCACTTAGCAGCCCATGTCTCATATGAATAACCAAGCTTCTAACAGCAGCAGCAGGAAAAACACATCTACCATGGCTTTCCCACACAGGGAAAGTACTTATTAAGTACTTCTTTAGTAGTGTTAATGAGGGGCAGGGTAAGAAAAGAAGAACATGCGTCACAGATTTGAATTGTCCCAAAGTGAACAATCTTGTCTGATGAGGAAGCACCACTGAGGCCGGAAGATGGGCGAGAAACTTGTCGAAACTTCCTGCAGCTGATCCACAGGTGAAAGGGCCCAGATCCCTGGTGTGGCACAACTCTACAGCAACTTCTAGAACAGATCATTTTATCAAGGGGGCATTTAGGTTTGGGGAGAAGAAAAAAACATAACCAATGATTTTATGGGTAAGCTGGGAGCAAGTTAGTTATTTCCTAAGAGGAAAAGTTTTGTCAGCTGAGCACCTCCAGAAAGGGGTGTCAATGAGAGGGAATTATCAGATGTCTGAAGACGTGCAGGGAAGTGCAGTGGGATGAGCAAGAAGGGATGCTTGGCTGGTACCAAGGTTAAGAATAACAGAGCACCAGGGTTACAGAAAACAAGTGTGGGTCAACGTCAGTTAAGATTCCTGTATGCAAGCAGCAGCTGGCACATACGACAAGATGCTCACCAAAACACAGCTTTGTTTGCCTTGCAATTATTGCAGGAGCAAAACATTAGGGCAGCATCCATACCCACACAGCACTTGAGATGAAGTTCTTTCTTTCTTCCCTCAGATTTCTAAAAATACAGCTGCAGGTGTCTCCAATCCCTTGCTGACAAAAATGAGTTGATTTAGAGCTGGTCAGTCCATTGCAAGTTCAGGTTATACTTACAGACCGTCTTGGCCAGGTGCAGAAACAAGCCAGCTTCTACTCTTCACTTCCTTGCTAGCAGCTCTGTTCTAATTCTTAATGAAGGTCGACTTGCAACTTCAGCACAACACAGAGCAGCGTGAGAGCAGCGCTCTTAAACACACAGGTTGCACAGGACTACCAGGGTCCATGTAACAGTTGCTCAGACCAGCAGGGCTCACTGAGCATCCACTCCACGCTCTCCCAAACATTTGGTAACATCCTATAGCATAATCGATACACACTGTACAGAAAGTCTGAGGGATTATGAAAGTAGAGGAAAGATCTAAGGAGTTACCTAGGTGCCTGCAATAGCAAGCACCCCACAACACCGTGTAAATTTTTTGTGACTGAAAGCAGCTCATGACCTC